AAAAATAAGTGTTGCCATACACAAAAATTTGCTGGAAAATACAGTATTGCCATACGATACGGTAGATGTTGCAGTTATACACAAAACATGTTTATTCCAGAAGAAAACGCGCTGAGTATATGTACTGCTAACGCAAAATTTTCGATATAAAGATATTTAATATCCGCGCGAATATAAAAGTTATTAAAGTGAGTATTTGTATTACAAAAACATTATTACTTATTTGTGTGTCGTTAGAAAATGACTAAGCAAAGAAATTTGTGAAAATCTAAAGTGGGTCAATTAATTTTTATAATTATAGAAATGTATATCTCCTGGAGCCGAGCGTTAACGGAAGAATTAATAAATCTTCTCCAGGCCCGAGAGTGTCTTTGGAACACAAAGCATTGCCATTATAGTGACAGGGATAAGCGAAATGCGGCAATAAATGGAATTCACGACGTTTTGGTGACGAAAGATCCCCTTGTGACCCCAAAAAACATTAGGGAAAAAATTCAAGGACTGCGCTCACAATTTCGGAGAGAAGTGAGGGCAATTGAAGCCAGTAAACGGAGTGGATGCGGCGCAGCAGATGTGAAAACACCCAAAATGTGGTGTTACGAGCTGCTCCAGTTTCTACGTCCAAACGTAGAAATAAGGGTGACGCAGGATAGTTTAAATGATGAAAACAGGCCACAAACGGTAAGATTTTGTGACATAAAGTTTTCTAAGAGTAATTTGTAATTTTTCCAATAAAGATACGATACGGACAATAATATAAACACGGATAACGCCTCGTTGAGGGACGAACCGTCGGTAAGTTATATTTTCACGATTCGTAGCCAAAATGCTGAAAAACGTTGAATTCATTAAAATAAATTACAAAGGCTCAACCATATTTATTTAAAAATTCAGGCATTATATTTAATTTGCATAACTTTTATTGTTGTTCTAACCACTCCAGCTTTCCTTCATTATTAAAATATTCAAGAAAAGAATTTCTTATTGCTTCAGGTGAGAGATTTCTTTCATATGATATTGCATTAGAATGCATTGTATCCATAAATGGTTCACTCAAAGAACTTATCCTATTACTTAAAATAAAGTTGTGAAGTACACAAAACGCCTGTATAATGGTCTCAATAGTTCTTACGTTTTGTAAGTTGATTGGTTTCTTCAGTATAAGGAATCTTTGAGAGAGTATGCCGAAAGCTCTTTCACTTGTTTGATGTGCCCTGGACAATCTTTTATTGAAAATAATTTTTTCACGCACACTTGTGAGGTGTGAGTAAGGTTTCATCACGTGTCTTTGTAGTGCAAAAGCATTATCGGCAACCACGACATAAGGCAATAATCTTTGGTTCCCTATAACTTTGTCTGGTGGAAAGTATGTATCCCCATTATTCAACACTCGCTGTAAAGACGAATGGCTTAGGATAGCTCCATCATGAGTTCTACCATTTGCGCCCACGTTTATATAAATAAATTTGCAATTTGCATCCACCAGTGCTAGCAGTACAATGCTATCAGTTCCTTTGTAATTGTGATAGTAAGAGCCATCTGATTGAGAAGCGTAGAAGCTTACATGCTTTCCATCTAAAGCTCCTAAACAAAGAGGAAACTGCCATTTCCGCTCAAACTGATCCGCAATTGATTTCCATTCATTTGGAGACTCCGGGAACTAAAAATAATAACAATTATTTTAGTTTCAGGTTTCATCATCTTGCAGAAAACGAAGTAAGGCTCATTTTCAACAAAAGGTACAACAGGGATTAAAAGAGTTGACAAATATAATGGTGACAAACACAAAAAGGAAATATGAGTGGTTTGGCGAGGAGGTGGTCAGCATACTGGATGGTATGAAAAGTGAGGACGTTGCTCTGGAAACCATTGATGCCATCCATTCCCTGCTATCTTCCGCCAGAAAAAAAGACAAGGAAGTAACAAACTCCGCGACAACTCGGGATATTTTAAGTTTAGCTTTAGATGGTGTTTTAGATGATAGCGATTTGGAATAGATTTTAAGTTAATGTAAGTTTTTAATGAATTTTACGGTTGTGGTAGGTGATAAGTTTTAATGAATTTTTTTATTTTTACTTAATATCGTCACCTGACGGGAAGAGCGACCTATGTCGGCAGCCAATTCGAAAACGGCCTATCTCAGAAATTATTCAAGAACGCCCCACTTCAGAATTTGACTGAAGAACGCCCTATTTCAGAATTTTATTGAAAAACACCCTATCTCAGAATTCGGCTCAAAAACGCCCTATCTCAGCTGGAAATACATTGAAAATGTACTGAGATAGGGTGTTTTTGAATCGCCAGCTGAGATAGGGTTTTTTTTTTAAATAAAATTCTGAAATAAGGCGTTCTTCAATCAAATTCTGAAGTAGGGCGTTCTTCAAAAGTTTTCTGAGATAGGGCGTTTTCGAATTGCCTGCCGAGATAGGTCGATCTTCCACTTAGGTGACGATATATTTATGTATATAAAATGTGATTTAGTGTTTAAAACGAAAAAATTTATTTAAGTTAATATTGAATTGGTTTTTTTAAATTTCAGTACCTGTTGTATTTTTACGTTTTAATAAATATTTATTGAATTGACTTTAATATTTAATTTACTTTATTTCATTAAAACATATAAGGTAAAGATGGTTAAAAGGTCTATG